AGCTTTTTTCTTTTTGCTTATGTGGTGCTGAGGAATTGAACCCAGGGCCTCAGGCATGCAAGGCAAGCGCTCTACCACTGAGCCACCTTCCCAGCCCCATGTAATGTTTTATATAAAAGGTACAACATACCATGAAATTCTGTTAGTTTTGATTCAAGAACATAGAATTCAAGGTATCTTCTATAGACAGACCAATGTTCAGGCTCATGCCCAACTGTAAAATGAAAACACTGAATTACAAATAATTTTAAAAACTATTAGTAAATGAACTATTCAACAATAATATAAAGGATATTTGTAGCCTTAATAACTTACTATTTTGAATATTACATTATCATATTTTGCCCTAAACTTTAATTACCTATAAGAGACAGAAATTTCAACTTTTTACGGTTATCTAAAGCAAATATACTTTTTCTACAATAGAATCATAAAGTTAAAGGATTTTTGAAAATTTATACAATTATTAAAGTCATCAAAATGACGTATTTCATTTAAAAAGTATGACTATAGCCAGTAACTCAGACTTGTAATTAGGAAGCTGAGATCTAACCGAGGTTTGAAACTGGCCAGGGCAGAGGAGTCCAGAAGACTCTATCTTCAATCAACCGGCACAGAAAGCGGGCTACAGGCCTGGCTCCAGTGGTAGCATGCCAGCCAGCAGTGAAAAGGCTGAGGAAGAGCTTGGGAGACTTTGAGTTCAAGCCCCAGTACCACAACTCCCCAAAACAAAAATGTAACTAATTGAGTCCTTCAAATATTGACTAAGTTGTCCTGATGGAACAATATAGTATAGAAGCACACTTCAAAATGACAATCTGCAATCCTGTAAATATTCTATATATCTAATAAAGAGTTGCTACTAAGTACTATTAAGAACCTGAAATATGGCTAGTGTAACCAATTAAATGTTAATTGGCTACCAAATTGTAAAACACAGGTAAGGGCTAAAACAATCAGGTCAGACCACCAGTCCAATCCCCGGGGCCCCATTTACTATGTGGCCTTAAACACATAATCTCATTGCATCTTACTTGGCTTATAGAATAAAAATAATTGTGTTTACTACATTAAAAAAAATCTACCTAAGCTGGGTGCTGGTGGCTCACCCCTGTAATCCTAGCTACTCAGGAGGCTGAGACCTGAGGATTGCAATTCAAAGCCATCCCGGGCAGAAAAGTCCCCAAGAGACTCTTTAATTAACCACTCAAAACCAGAAGTGGTGCTATGGCTCAAGTGGTAAAGCCTTGAGCAAAAAGAGGCTCAGGGACAGTGCCCAGGCCCTGAGTTCAAGAGCCACAACTGACAAATAATAGTAGTAGTAGTAGTAGTCGTAGTAGTAGTAATCCACCTAAAGCACTTCCATATAGTATAGAGCATAGAATCAGCACTGATCTTCACTACCACTTAGTTACTAGCCTCATTTCTCTTAGAGACAGTTTCTTCTTCTGAGCTTAACTTTAATTTTCTGTTTATCATTCTCAAAATATGCAGGACTACTCAGAGATGACTGTTTATTCCAGTATATTGTTTACTTCCTGTCTCTACTGTAATAGAAAAAGCCAGGAAGAGCTAAAAGAAGGAAGTCTGCAAAGCAGGGAGACAATCTGTAAAGCTATGTCTAATTATATTTTATTCAATTTTAATAGCCCATAAAAATGGGGAAAGGGGAAATACTGTCTTATTAAAATTGGAAGCTGGGTGCTGAGGCTCACAGCTTTAATCCCAGCTGAGAAGGCTGAGATTTGAAGGAATGGCTCAAGAGGTAGATCACCAGCTAAATGAGAAACCTGAGCTAGTGAGAAGCCTTGAGTTCAAATACCATTACTGGTGAAATAAATATAAATTAAAATTAAAATAAGAGACACAATACCTAAAATAGTGCTAATCGCATAAAAGATAAGTTAAGCATAATGGCCACTGATGACAACAAAAGTAATGAAAGAGACATAATGAAAGAGACAAAATGTGTCACTGGACTGTTTACTATTGTTTACTCAATAGTGTTGACTGAATGAATTAACTTACCACAAACACAACTTATAAAAACTAAGTTTTCATCTAACTTTCTGTTCTAGATACTTTGTTTTTAGCTAGGCAATCATATTTAATAATTATACACAGCAAATATCTCAAACATAATAAAGACGGGTTTACGGGCATTTTTTAAGAAGGTACTTCTTACCTACTCGTCTGTCATTTCTTTCAACATCAATACAAAACACAGGAATTCTCTCCTTCTTCTCCTTCCTTTCGGAGGAGGGATCCTCAAAAAAGTCTACATAAGGAATGCTGATTTTCCAGGCAGCAAGGTTTCGGGGAGTATTAGGCGTACTAACAGCTTCTACTGGAGAATCGTCTTCCATTACAACAATACCTTCTTCAATCTGGAAAAAAAATAGCAGTACCTTTAGAAATACAGAGGAACAGATACACCCATATTATTTTGGTAATTTTTAAAATGTAGTTAGATGATGATTTTCTATCAAAAGTATAAAAATAAAAAGTTAAAACAGGTTACTAGCATCAACTTTAGGTCTGGCTATATACATATACATTGAAGTATAATGGAAACTAACCAGACATTTCAGAGATTATGGAAAAAAATACTAAAAGCATACAAATATAAAAAGCTTTCAACCTTGGTGGTAATACTGTCACTTAGGTAATATTGTCACTTAGGAATGTGAATACTGAAAGTAGTCAATGATGGCTACATTTGTAATACACTATTAAGTATGAAGAATACCAGCATAACCTTTCTGGAAAGTGTTCTGACCCAGAGTTAAACTCTGGATTAAGATCGGCACTGGTGGCTCTTGCCTATAATCCTAGCTAGTCAGGAGGCTGAGATATGAGGATCTTGGTTCAAAGCCAGCCCAGGCAGTTAAATCCCTGGGATTTTTATCTCCAATTAACTACCAGAAAAACAGAAATGGCGATATGGCTCAAGTGTTAGAGTAGTCGCTTTGAGCGGACAGAGCTCAGGGACAGCGCCCAGGCCCACTGTATTTTATATGGATATAAAAGTTGAAAAGAAGATTTGAAAGGCACTAACTTCTATAGAATACTGCTTTTTCATATCCTAACTTTCAAATTTTACATAAAATACCTTTTTGTTGGTGGTGGTGGTTGTGGGGGCTGAACTCTGGGCCTGGGTGCTGTCCCTCAGCACTTCAGCTCAAGGCTAGCGCCCTACCACTTGAGCCACAGAGCCACTTCTGGCTTTTTCTGCTTATGTGGTGCTGAGGAATCGAACCCAGGGCCTCATACATGCAAGGCAAGCACTCTACCACTAAGCCAGCTTCCCAGCCCTTAAATTCTAAAATATTTTAAATATCTAAAAATAAGTATTTTAAAATAGAAATCTACATCTCGAAATAAATATAATGAAGGAAAAAAATGATTGATACTTTCAAATTTTATTGAACCTATTAAGCTCTATATCTTTGCTCAATCAAGACATCTCTTAATCATGTTAAAGAAATAAAATATTAGGAATAATCAACACATTCATTTTGTTTTCTTGAGACAAGATCTTAATATGTAGTCAAGGTGAGCCTAAAACTCTCTTGGTAGCCTAGGCTGGCTTCAAATTCATGACTCTCCTGTGTGAGCCTTCTGAGTACTGGGACACACTCATCTCAAAGATTACACTTCTTTTAAGGCAGTAATCAAAGCCTATATTTGCACTTGAAAAGTAGAGGCAAGAGGATAATGAGTTTGAAGCCAGCAAGTGCTATATTGTCTAATTTTAACACTAAAGGTACAGCACTTAAGAGAACTGTGAATAGTTTAATCGGAGAAAACCAATGGTGGAAAGATATTTACTCCCACTATTCTAGCACTTCATTATATAGTCTTGTTCATGGATCTGGGGATGGAGTAGGTCATAAAACAACAGAGAGGACTGGGAATGTGGCTTAGTGGTAGAGTGCTTGCATGATGCACTGGGTTCAATTCCTCAGTATCACATCAGAAAAAGCTGGAAGTGGCATTGTGGCTGAAGTTGTAAAGTGCTAACCTTGACCATAAAAAAAAAAAAAAAGAGGCAGCTCAGGGACAGTGCCTAGGCCCTGAGTTTAAGCCTTAGGACTGGCAAAAGAAAACAAGCAAACAAAAACAAACCAAAGTAAAACAATTTGTTTAGTAAATACTACTAATAATAGGATATTCTTTTTATTTTGAGGCCCTGGGTTCAATTAGTACCACATAAATAAAAGTTTAAAAACATAGTTAAAATTTTAAAAAAATCTCTAAAAAATGGGAAAGCAAAATTCTTAGCAACATACAAGTATAAATGAGTAGCAAGGAACAAAGTTTTTCAACTTAAATGGTGTTTGTACCAACAGACTTAATGAGAAATCTCTATGACAATAGTTCTCTGAAATTTTCAGTGCTTTCCTATTAACTAAAATTAAGTAAAATTTGTGAACAAAATGATTGAATTGTTTTTGCTATTAAGACAAGATTTCACAACATAGCCCAGACTAGCCTCTAACTTATTCTTGCCTTAAAAACTGAGTGATACCTTACTTCTCAGAAATTTAAGATAGCTCTTGCCCATGTAATTGTAACCCCTCTGTACAGTATTTTCACAATAAAAAAATAAAAATAAAAAAAGAAATAAAAGAAATTTAAGATAGCATACACAATGTTTAATGCTATCTTAAGTTTGCAGTTATACAAACATCGAATTAAAGAACTTAAGCTTATAAAGCTTTCTTTACTTAAAGATTTTTTACTTACAAAGTCATCTTCACCTTCAGCCAAACCATAATTAGGCAACATAGCTCCCTCCATTGTGGTACTCTTGAATACTCCTTTAATTTTGCTACCTATTCTGCTAATTCCAAATGATTCTCCTCTCTTCTGTGTGCTTCTAAATATTGAACAAAAACTTATCAGGCACAAGGCAAATTATCACAACAGTCTAGTATACTATAAACAATACTAAAGAAAAAGAAACCAAGCATATTGGCTCATTCCTATAATTTGAGCTACCTGGGAGGCACATGTAGAACTGTGGTCTAATGAACAATGCAAAACCTCAAGACCCTATCTGAACAACAAACAGAAAGCACAAGAACTGGAGCATGGATCAAGTGGTAGAGTGCTTATGTAGCAAGCATGAGGCACTAAAATCAACTCCTAGTATCACCAGGAAAAAAGGGAAAGAGGAAAACAAATAATTTTGACACTATTAAACTAATGTAATTTTCAGTTTTCAGTCACTAATTAAATCTCAATATTTCAGAAGCTAAAAAGGACAGACTATTTAAAGGTTAAATTTGTAGTATGAATGAATGAAACAAATTCTACAAGCAAACCATCTGAAAGTTAGCTGATGTTAAATTCCAAAGACATTTTTGAAAGAGGAGAGCCCTCTGGTGGCACAGAGTTCTCACTGCCACACATATTTTTGAAATAATAAAAAAACACAAAAGAAATATATAAACCTTATTATTCTTCATTTTCTGATGAAAGTTAAATTTTGTCATCTATGACTGACAAATATACAAGGAAAATCCATCGCTATAATCATATACTCAAGAGAGGAAGACAAAGTATAAAACACCTTATTTAACTTCAAAGTAGTAAAAAGAAAATTACCAAAGGAAAGGGCTAGTCATGATAATAAAGATAAAAGCAAATGTAGCCCAGGAAGCAGCCTTCTCTCATAAATATTAAAGGTTAGTTTTACAATTTTTTTCAAAAGTAAATTTCTAGCTGGGTGACAAAGGCTCATGCCTAGCTATTCAGAAGGCTAGGATCTAAAGGATCCAAGTTCAAAGCAAGCCTAGACAGAAAAGGGGAGGTGTGACTCAAGTGTTACTCAGCTTTGAGAGAAAAAGCTCAGCAAGAGTACAAGACAGGGCTAGGAATGTAGCTTAGTGGTAAGAGTGCATGCCCAGAAGCCCCGGGTTCCATTTCTCAGTATCACATAAGCAGAAAAGGCCAGAAGTGGTACTGTGGTTCAAATGGTAGAGTGCTAGCCTGGAGCAGAAAGCAGCTCAGGGACAGGGCTCAGGCCCTGAGTTCAAGCTCCAGGACTGGCAAAAAAAAAAAAAAAAAACAGTGCAAAGCACTCAGTTCAAACCCTGGTACCAGCAGAACAAATAAATTCCTAAAATCAGAAACAGCTCAAAAGAAAAACAGCCATTTTTTCCCATTATAACAAAATGCCCCAGGCTTCAAAAAGACTATAATTTTTTGAAAGACTTGGAAAAAATTATATAGTGAAGTAAGCCAGGCCCAAAGAAACATAGCTCCCATCGTTACCTTTATTTGCAATAACTTGTGTAAGTCTAGGACAAGCAGAAAAGGTCAAAACTATGTATATATGACCATCTAAGATGATGTTAAGCAAAATGAATCCCAAGAGGTTTTTTATTTTCTTGCTATTGTTTTTTAACATATTCAAAATATACTATATGATTTTTTTGTTTCTCTTATATGTTCTTCCTCCACACTATAACCCCTGTTTTTCACTGTATTTGATGTTGGTGCCCTGCATCTTATACATACATTTTTCTAATTTGGGGAGGGAAAGGGAAAAAACAAAATGCTTAAATAGGGATACAGGTTGACCCATTGTTAACAATGAGATGTATAAACACTATGCTGAAAATGAACTTTACAACTTGGGGGTGGGGGAGGGAGGAGTTGGGTAGGTAGGGAGGGAAGGGATAGTAGGGGAAAAACAAAGGAGGAAATAACAATGCTGTATAGGACATGTACTCATTACCTGACTCATGTAACTGTAACCCATCTGTACAGTATTTTTACAATAAAAAATTTTTAAAGAGTATAATTTTTATTTAATATAAAACTCATTATTATCATAACATGGCCTTTACAATGAATACCCAAGTAAAAATAGCTATTCTTTTATTTTTAAATTGTCATTATAAAGGTTATGTACAGAGGGTTCCAGTTATATAAGTCAGGTAATGAGTACATTTCTTTTTGGACAGTGTCACCTCTTCCTTAGAAAAATGATTATTTTAAAATCTGACAAAGGTTGTTTAGAACGCTTAACTTTACTGGATACCTATTTGCCTAAGAGAAACATTCATCTAGTGAAATAATGCAACAGTTACAGAAATAAGAAAAAAACTGATGAAATTGCAACTATACCAGGTACATGGTAACATCTGTATTATATGCATGCTCTGAGGAACAAATCAAACTTATTGTAAAACCAGAAATGTAGTAATAATAGCAACAGTGAAAAGGGTAAGCCAGATTATCTAAATAAGCATTTGTTGTTTTTATAAAACAGAGTTAGTAGGAGATGTGGCTCAAGTGGTAGAGTGCCTTCCCTGAAAACTTGAGTTCCTGAGTTCCAACTTAGTATGACCAAACAAAAAAGGGAAAACAGTTACTCCTAATAAAACTATTTCCAAAAATAAACATAAAATGTTGACAAAATGTTGTTAAAATATCTAGAACCTAGATTTTTCTCCTCTCTAAAATCGGGAGACCATAAAACAAGATCTGGAAGGATGACATTTTTTAAATGCCCCACTTATAATTATACCCAGGATCATAGAAATATTATCTGTTACTTTGTAAAGAAATCTTTAAAAACAAATCATTATGCAAAATAACTGAGCAAAATCCTCTCTAAAAAAATTACTCTCTTAAAAAAAGCCCCTCTCTATAAAAAGTTAGCAACCTTGAAAAGTGAAAAGATCTTAGTATCAGAACATTTTTATTTTATTATAACATATGTCATTTCAAAGTCAAGCTATCTGTGGGTCACCAGTGGCTCAGGCCTATAATCCTAACTACTTAGACTTAGATGCTAACATCTAGTAGTTGGAAGTCAGCAGGACTGAAAAAAGTCTATGAGATTCTTATCTCCAAATGACCAAAATGGCAGAAGTAGAACTATAGCTCAAGTGGTAGAACATTAGCCTTGAGCAAAAGAGCTCAGAGGAAGTACCCAGTCCCTGAGTTCAAGCCTTATTACTGGCACTAAAAATTTAAAAAAGGAAATACCTAGAATTAAAGAAGATACTCATTTAAAAGTTATCTAACAGAGCTGGTAAGTTGGCTTAGTGGTAGAGTGCTTGCCTCACATGCATGAGGCCCTGGGTTTGATTCCTCAGCACCACATAAGCAGAAAAAGCCGGAAATGGCGCTGTTGGCTCAAGTGGTAGGGTGCTAGCCTTGAGCTGAAGAGCTGAGGGACAGCGCCCAGGCCCAGAGTTCAAGCTCCATGACCAACCAAAAAAAAAAAAAAGTTATCTAACGGCATAGTGTTTTGTATTTTTTCCTTTTTAGTTATATTTAGGTTGTTTGGAATGTACATTATGGACTTAAACAGACAAATTTATACTAAAAAGAATCACATGCTAAAGACTTACCGAAAATCATCCAAACTTAGGCTACCTCTGCAATATCAGATATGTGAAATTATATTAGGAGAAGAGAGAAAGCCCAGACATTAAACAAATTTCACTTCAAAATACCAAATAAAATTTTAACACTTTAAACAAGTAGATAAAATTTCCTTGTAAAAGGAAGAAATGCATACATAAAAACCATGGTAAGTGTAATAGAAACAAAGCCTCTGGTTATGTATTTGGTATAGGGGTGAGAAATCTTATAACTAAATAATAGAACTTGAAAGTTCCACTAAGTTCATGGTTCAAAGCACACCCAGGCAGGAAGGTCCATGAGACTCTTGTCTCCAATTAACCACAAAAAGCCAGAGTAGAGCTGTGGCTCAAGTAGTAGTGTATGAACTTTGAGCACAAACAAAAGCTCAAGGACACACTCAAGTCCTCAGTTCAAGCCCCAGGACTGGTACCAAAAGAAAAAAAAAAACACCACATGAATATTTAAAAGCACTTAACAAAAATTAACAAAGCTACTCTAAATTTCCAGTAAAATAAAAAACTTAAAAACTCTTTTACCTTCTCTGTGTAGGTAAGACAACCATTAATTATCAGAGAACATTAACAATATTTAAGTCAGTTCAATAAAAAGTAAAAAAAAAAAAAGGGCTGGGAAGGTGGCTCAGTGGTAGAGCGCTTGCCTTGCATGCTCGAGGCCCTGGGTTCGATTCCTCAGCACCACATAAGAAAAAAGAAAAAAGCTGGAAGTGGCGCTGTGGCTCAAGTGGTAGAGAGCTAGCCTTGAGCTGAAGAGCTGAGGGACAGCGCCCAGGCCCAGAGTTCAGGCCCCACGACCGGACCCCCCCCCAAAAAAAAGAAAGTCCATGAGACTCTTATCCCCAATAAACTACTCAGAAAAAGCCAGAAGTGTCATTGTGGCTCAAGTGGTAAAATGCTAGCCTTGAACACAGAGAGGCTCAGAGACGGCAGTGTCCAGGCCCTGAATTCAAGGCACAGGACAAAAAAAAAGAAAACACTTAAAAACTCTTGAGTTATCTTTGCATTTCAGTTTTATATGTCCCTACCCTCAAACAAAATAGATTACCAAACACTAATATGTATTAACTACGAGATCTATAAGCATATTACTTTTATAAAAGAATTCAAGCATCTGTACTATACATGGAATAGTTCAACAATTCACTGACAAGCAGCAATGAAACCATATGTTCATTTGAAAAATAGCTAATAAGTTCAATGATGCTATATTACAATTAGTATCATCAGCAAGTTCAACATGATATATATATATAGATGAATATGCCTACCTGTTGAATTTTGAATTGCGTGTTGGTGATTCTGCACCTCTTAGGAGTTGTCTGAAATACTTCAAAATAAAAAAATCAATGTCACTTACTAAACTAAAATCTGACACTGAAATATGCTATTTTGCCTTTGTATTCTTCAGTTTAAAGGGCTGAAGGCATAACTGAATGGTAGAGCATTTGCCTATTATATACAAGGCCTTGGTTTCTATCCTCAATACTGCAAAAAATAAATGAATAAATAAAAAGAAAAAGCTATTGAAATCAAGTGAACACAGCCACAGTCAAACAAGGTAAGGATTAAAACAATTGCAAATGGAGATATTCAGGCCACTTGATTTCCTCAGGTATATAAATAATTGTATATAACTATACAAGAATGGGTTTCTGTATCACCAAGTAATAGAAAGCTAGTTAGGCATATGGCAAATCAAGTCAATCTGGACCCAATCAACCTTGTCACATAAACACAAACATGGATTTAGAATTGAAAATGTTTTATTTTCCTATTTATTATTGAATCACTTATCTAGCAATGTCAAAACCCTATTAAATTTTGTATAAAAATCCTTAAACAAGGTTAATACTTTGGCTTACCTCATCACTGTGGCAGAACATAGGAGTAAACACATTCTCCAAGAGAGAAAGAACATGTTCATATGCTTCAAAAAGACACCTCATAGTCTGAAGTTTCACAACATCTATGTATGGGCCTTCCGCAACTATTAAAAAAAAAATCTATTGCAGAAATTATTTACAAGCAGCATAAAAACATTATTAGTTGAAATTCATTCAACTAAAAAGACAATCCGCTACAACTATGTTTTATAAAAATCCACCTTAAGAAATTATACTAGGCTAGGAAATGAGAATAACTAACAAGTAAAATCTATTATATGAATTGTGAATAATAAGCCTTTCCTCAAAGATTCATCTCATTAGCAAAATGAATATGTAAAGAAGTATTTAAGCAAGAAATAAGGTTGACAAAGATTAATATTAAATACTAAATATTAAAAATGATTAACTGTTCATGTTCCTCGCACATCTACTGCAATGATAAATAGAGAATACATGAAAAAAAATTTATACTTGTAAAGGAGCTACAAAATTCATTATCTTCACCATGTTTCACTTACTTCTTTGAATTTCTTCTACGATAAAAGGATCAAATCTAATTTTATCAATACTTTCATCCAAACAATATGTTTTATAAATCTTCTGCAACTCTTCATGAAGAGAGAGCATTTCATCATTTGATAACTCTGGTCGCAAAATTCTATCATTAAATTCCTCTAACAAATACAAGAAAGAATAAGAAAAACACATTACTTTAATTCAGAAGTATTCATGAAAACTTCCTACTCCTGTTCTAACTGTAGCCAGTACTAAATGCAACAAATAGAGTCCAATGCATCATTTTAAGCTTTTAAAATAGATTTGAGAGCAAAATACTCATATTAAATATTAATGTAAAATACATAAACAGCTTGCTAATTTTCTTGAATTTAGAACAGCAATTAACACATGTAAAATTTTCTTTCCTTCCTTCCTATCCTCCTTCCCGCTTTTTCTCCCTCCTTCCTTTTCCTCCCCCTCCCCCCCTTACTCTCTTTCTTGCCAGTACTGAGGTTTGAACTCAGGGACTGAGCACTATACCTTAATTTTTTGCTCAAGGTTGGCACTCTACCATTGAACCCCAGCTCCACTTCTGTGTAAAATTTTCTTTAGGCTTGCGCCTATACTCCTACCTATTAAGGAGGTTGAGATCTGAGGATCACAGTTTGAAGACTTATCTCCAATTAATCACATACACACACAACCCCAGGAAATGGCACTGTGGTTCAAGTGTTAAAGTGATAGCCATAGGGGCTGGGAAGGTGGCTCAGTGGTAGAGCGCTTGCCTTGAGGTGAAGAGCTCAGGGACAACGCCCAGGCCCAGAGTTCAAGCCCCATGACCAACAAAAAAGAAATGTTCAACATCTCTGGCCATAAAAGAAATGCAAATCAGAGCTGGATGCAGGTGGCTCATGCCTGTAATCCTAGCTACTCAGGAGGCTGAGATCTGAGAACTGAGGTTCAAAGCCAGCCCAGGCAGGAAAGTCCATGATTCTTATCTCCAATTAATCACCAGAAAACCAGAAGTGGTGCTGTGTCTCAAGTGGAAGAACACTTGCTTTGAACTGATGAGCTCAAAGAAAGCACTGGAGTCCAGAATTCAAGCCCCATAACCAACAAAAGAAAAGAAGAAATGCAAATCAAAACAACATTGAGATTCTACCTTACCCCAGTTAGAATGGACATTATCGAGAAAACTAAAAAAAAAAAACAAAAAAAAATGCTGGTGGGAATTTGGCCAAAAAGGAACTCTACTACACTGTTGGTGGGAAGATAAACTTGTTCAACCATTCTGGAAAGCAGTATGGAGGTTTCTCAAAAAGACTAAATAGAGCTTCCCTATGACCCAGCAACATTACTCCTGGGCATTACCCAACAGAATACAAACAATCAGGCGGCTGAGATCTGAAGACTGCAGTTCAAAGCCAGCCCCAGCAGGAAAGTCCATGAGACTTTTATCTACAATTAATCACCAGAAAACTGGAAGTGGCATTGTGGCTCAAATGGTAGAGTACTTGCCTTGAGCTGAAGAGCTCAGGGAGAACACCCAGGCCTAGAGTTCAAGCCCTATGACCTACACAAACACACACACAGGGGGCTGGGAAGGTGTCTCAGTGGTAGAGTGCTTGCCTTGCATGCATGAGGCCCTGGGTTCAATTCCTCAGCACCACATAAGCAAAAAGAAAAAAGCAGGAAGTGGCACTATGGCTCAAGGACAGTGCCCAGGCCCAGAGTTCAGGCCCCACTACCGGACCTAAAAACAAAAAACAAAAAAACCACACACACACACACACACACACACACACACACACATATACACAAAACACAAACACAAAGGTCACCCTAAAGCAACCAGCTCAACCATGTTCATTGCAGGATTGTTTACCATAGCCAAGACTTGAAACAACCCAGATGGCATTCAGTGGATGAATGGATAAAGGAAATGTGATATAGATACACAATGGGACTCTGTTCTTAAATCAGAAATAATATTGTACCATTTGTACAATTTTTTTTTCACGTGAAAAAGAAAGATGTGAAAAAAAAATTAAGTAAGCCTTACCCAAAGAAAAAGAGGTTGCATGGTTTCCCTCATTTGTGGTAAAAAGAATGTGCCTATAAATCTACAAGTAAACACACTGCAAGGTTAAAAATATATATATATATACTGGGGTAAGTCTCTAAATAGTCACACAGTGAAACCAAAGGAGGATATTTATAGGAGCGAGTCACAAAGGCTCAACAGTTATACACATATGATCATATAAAATAATATTTTACAAAATGAGCTCCAAGAAATGGAAATGAGATTTTAATTGTCGTTGTTGCTTTTTTTTGTTGTCTTTTCCTTTTGCCTTGCTTATTTGTCCTTAGGAAGTTAAGGGAGAGGCTCAGAAAAGGTGGGACAAAGGATGAACAAATGCAGCAGTGGCACTCACTAGACACTGTCAAAAACCAAATGACACAACTTGTGAGTGGGTCAGGAAAGAAAAACTGAGAGAGAGAAAGGGAAGGGGTGACATGGTTCAAAAAGAAATGTACTCATTAGCTGACTTATATAACTGTAACACCTCTGTACATCACCTTTACAATAATAAAATATATTTAAAAAATAATAAATAAGGGCTGGGAATGTAGCTTAGTGATAGAGTGCTTGCCTAGCATATATGAAGCCCTGGGTTCAATTCCTCAGTACCATATGAACAGAAAAAGCCAGAAGTGGTGCTGTGGCTCAAGTGGTAGAGTGTTAGCCTTGAGCAAAAGCAGCTCAGGAATAGTGCCCAGGCCCTTAGTTCAAGCCCCAAGACTGGCAAATAAACAAATAAAGTTTAATCCATAAAAAATGCTAATAAATAAATAAATAAATAAAAAGTTTACATAGTCCATTAAAAAATGCTTTCCGTAGACAATTGGCCCTTGACTTCCCCTGATTGTTTCCCTATATTTCCTCATCTGGTTTTCTTTGCCCATATATAACACTTGTTGGGTTTGATTCCACACACCTCGTGTGGTTTTGGCCTACCTAAGTTTTGTGCATTCAGGGCTGCTGGTCTTTGAGACACAAGTCCACCAGTGGTCCTCCAGCTATCTCTTATCATTTGGCCATTTAAGTGGTGGCTTCTCTGTTTCTCATGACTGAGTTTCCTTACAACATTTGGTTGTAAGTAATAAGGTTGTAATCATGCCATGATATTATAGTTTGTAATCAAAATTACAAGTAAAATTAAAAACTAAAACCAAAATTAAACATTTCCTCCTGGGCATGGTGACTCATGCCTATAATCACAGCTACAGGCGTTTGGAGAGATGATGATGATTAAATTTCAAAAAGTCCATAAGACTCCCATCTCAATCAAAATTTTGGTTACAGTGGATGTGACAATCATCCTAGCTATATAGCAGGTGTAAATAGGACTAAGTCTGTCAGGGAAAAAACACTAAACTATCAAAGTAGCTAAAGGAAAGAGGGTTAAAGGAAGTGCCTCAAATAGAAGAGCACCTACCTAACAAGCGCAAGACCCTAGATTCAAATACAAATACCCAATCCCCCACATACATATATATTGATTATTAATAAAAAAAATCCCTAACAGAAGCAATGACAACATAGTACTGGTTTGTACTATTAAAGGGATCTTTCATAATACTTTCATCATACTGAATTTTCAATATTACTCTCTGCTACTAGTATTTGATTACAATCAGTGAAAGATTATGTCCCAACATGGAAAAGAATGGATTCTTGCAATAAATCCATAATTGCTCTTAGAATGTTGAGTAAATGATAAATGGTAATAAATGGTTTCGACATCAGATATGATCTAAATATTTAAATAAATCAAAAGTTGTATAAAAAGCTGGGCATTAGTAGCTCATACCTATAATCCTAGCTACTCAGGAGGCTGAAATCTGAGGATCACAGTTCAAAGGCAGCCTGGGCAGGAAAAGTCCATGAGATTCTTATCTCCAATTAATCACAGAAAAGGCCAGAGGTGGCACTGTGGCTCATGGGACAGTGCTAGCCCTGAGCAAAAAGAGGCTCAGGAATAGCACATAGGCCCTAAGAATAAGACCCAGGATGGGGCTGAAAAAAAAAGTGTAAAAAGAATATAGAAGGGCTGGGAATGTGGCTTGGTGGTATAATCTTGCCTAACATGCATGAAGCCCTGGGTTTGATTCCTCAGTACCACATAAACAGAAAAGGCCAGAAGTGGTGCTGTGGCTCAAGTAGCTCAGGGACAGTGCTCAGGTTCTGAGTTCAAGCCCCAGGACTGGCAGAGGAAAAAAAAATAGATTATAAGTAAACACAGGTGATCCTCACCAACAGTCAGACAAAACTGCAACACATGCACTGCTCCTTCTTGCTTCAGGAAGTTCATAAAACGAAATAAAAGATCTTGTTGTTCTCTGATTTGCTTCAATTCTAACTTCAGTACCTTGATACAAAGATAAGGAAGAAGGTAAGGCTACACAAATACATTCTAAAATTATTTTTTATCAAAAATAATGTTACTGCTGAAAATACTCACAGATGGTTTTTTATTTCTGGGTTCTGCAAATTTCTGCAAGAATGGAACCAAAGGTGAAGCTGGTTCAGTTGCTTTTTCAGGCTTTGAAAAAACAGAATTATTTGGTCAATATACCTAGAATGAACACAATCTAAATTCAATGCTTTCTAAAGTGTTTTCTAATATATACTCACTGGACTGTCATCTATGAAGATGATAAGCAAATGATTCACAGTATCCTAAAGGAAAATAATAAATACAGTCAAGGTCATTCCATTATTGTATTTTGTCCACAATTCTCAAACTATTCATCAAATTTACTAGAAAAATGAAGCAAATGGCATAGCAGCTGAGCATCTGCACAAAGGGACTTTTTAAAAAAATCTATAAAGCTAGTTCTTTGCCCATGTTTGTGAACATAAGCAAAGAAAAGCTATTCTGATTTTACTATTTAAAATTTTTATAAATTAGGGCTGGAAATGTGGCTTAGTGGTAGAGTATATGCCTAGCATGCATGAAGCCCTGGGTTCGATTCCTCAGTACCACATAAACAGAAAAAGCCAGAAGAGGTGCTATGGCTCTAGTGGTAGAATGTAAGCCTTGAGCAAAAAAGAAGCTCATGGACAATGCCTAGACCCTGGGTTTAAGCCTCAGGACTTGCAAAATAATTAAATAAATATTTATATGTGATTCTTAAAATCCAACTGGATTAAAGATGAAATATCCCAAGGATCCTTCTGAGGATGAATAAATAAGCAAAAAGTAATATTAACGGACTATTATACTTAGCTTTAAAAAGAAAGGGGCTGGGTGCCAATGGCTCACCCCTGTAATCCTACACAGGAGGCTGAGATATGAGGACTGCAGTTTGAAGCCATCCTCAGCAGAAAAATCCCTGTGAGACTCTTATCTCCAGTTAACTACTCAAAAGCCAGAAGCAGTGCTGTGGTTCAAGTGGTACAGCCCTAGCTTTGAGCACAGAGGTTCAGGGACAATACCCAGGCCCTAAGTTCAAGCCCTACAACCAACCAAAAAAAAAAAAAAAAAAGAAAGAGCCGGGCGTTGGTGGCTCACGCCTGTAATCCTAGCTACTCAGGAGGCTGAGATATGAGGATCGCGGTTCAAAGCCAGCCTGGGCAGGAGAGACCGTGAGACTCCTATCTCCAATAAACCACCAGAAAACCGGAAGTGGCGCTGTAGCTCAAGTGGTAGAGTGCTCGCCTTGAGCTGAAGAGCTGAGGGACAGCGCCCAGGCCCAGAGTTCAAGCCCCACGACCGACAAAAAAAAAGAAAGAAAGAAAAGCAAAGGAAGGGAATTCGCCAGGTGCCAGTGGCTCATGCCTATAATCCAAAGCTATTCAAGAGGCTGAGATCTGAGAACTTGGTTCAACACCAGCACAGGCAGGAAAGTCTGTCAGACTCTTCTTTCCAATAAACTACCCCCAAAAAAGCTGGAAGTAGAACTCTGGCTCAAGTGGTAGAACTCTATTCTTGAGCAAAAGCTCAGCTCCCAAGAAGAAGGGAGGAAGGAAGGAAGGAAAGAAGGAAAGAAGGAAGGAAGGAAGGAAGGAAGGAAGGAAGGAAGGAAGGAAGGAAGGAAGGAAGGAAGGTTGGTTCTAATGTTCTAATAATGTTATGTGAAATAAGTTAAAACACAAAGAGACTATATAACTCCTTTACTTATATGAGGTGCCTACAATAGTCAAATTCAAAGTAGTATGGCAGTTGGCAGGGGCTGGAGGAAGGATGCAGTAATCATTGTTTAAAATTTGCACTTATGGTCAAACATACTTGTATAGTTTGTTCATAGTTTTGTTAAATAAAAAGTTCTACAGATTTGTGGTATTGTACTGAATTGCTGCACAACATCATCAATATATTTAATAACACTATACATGTAACAATGTACTACATATTAAGTTTTATGTTAAGTAGATTTTATAATGAAAACAATGTTTAAAATAAAAAAAACTTACTGGATCTGCTAAAAAATCCAAAGAAGGAAGGAACACAGAACCAGAGAGAATCTCTCTTATAAGTAAGGTCAGGGACCTGGAAAAAAATTAACAATTACATATTAATGATTTATAATCATTCTTAAGGGTTTTGTTGTTGTTGTTTGGGGTTTTTTGTACTAGTCCTGCCTGGGACTTGAACTTGGGGCCTGAGTGCTGTCTCTGAGCTTTTTTGTTTAAGGCTAGCTCTCTACCACTTAAACCAGAGCTCTGAAACTTCTGGCTTTTTTGGTGGCTAATTGGTGATGAAAGTTTCGTGGACCTGGTTGTTTTCACACTCCAATCCTTAGATCTCAGCCTCCTGAGTAACTAGTATTACAGATGTGAACTGCCAGTACCCAGCCAGCTCAAGGTTCTTTTTTAGTTGTTTTTGGGGAGTGTGTGTGTGTGTGTGTGTGTGTGTGTGTGTGTGCTCGCACGTGCACACGCACGCACGCACAGCAGTATCAGAGCTTGACTCAGGGCCTAGGTTCTGTCCCCTCATTTTTTCACTCATGACTAGCATCCCACAATTTGAGCTACAACTCCACTTATAGCTTTTTGGTGGTTAATTGGATGTAAGACACTTATGGATTTCCTACCTGGGCTGGCTTCAAACTACAATCCCCAGACCTCAGCCTCCTGAATAGCTATATTAATAGGCATGAGCCAGAGTTTTAAGTGCATATAAACTACCTAAAGATCTTGCAGAAGTATAGATTATAATTTAATAGATTTGGGATGGACCCCATGGTTCTGCATTTCTAGCAAACTTCCAGGTAATGCTTATGTTTTATAGGCTCACACACTTGAATTTGTAGTCTATTATTTCAGAAGAAAAAGTATTCCTTTACAGGAAACTTAGAAGACATTAGAAAATAATTCCTGCCTAGAATATTTACATAATTAATATATTCTTAAATTATTTTTTGTTGTTTTTTTTTTTTGTTCTGGCCCTGGGGCTTGAACTCAGAGCCTGGGCAATGACCCTGAGCTTTTTTGCTCAAGGCTAGCACTCTACCACTTAAGCTACTACCACTTAAGCTCCACTGGTGGCTTTTTTGGTAGTTAATTGGAGATGATTCCCAGGGATTTTTCTTGTGTTTCCACCTCAATCCTCAGATCTCAGCCTCCTGAGTAGCTAGGAATAAAGGTGTGAGCCACCAGTGTCCATGTTAAATGTGTAAAGGATGGGAATGCCTAGAATGTACAGGATCTTAGGTCTAGTCCTCAGTAGCACTAACAAAGGTGTTAAGATTAGTATCTAATATATTTAATAATATAATGTAACTTTTTTTACTTATAATATCTAAAGTAACATTACAAATTGGTCTAGAAGAGAGTCTATGTTCCCCAAACTCGTCTCAAACTTTCAATCCTAGTGCCTCAGCCTCCCAAGTAATTGGGATTACAAGTGTGTATCACTATTCCTAATTAAAGAAGTGTTAAGAAAACATTAATACAAAATACTTTCAAAAACGAAAGTACTTAAAGTATCATTGTGCCAGGTATGGTGATGCTCATCTGTAATCCTAGCACACAAGGTGCAGAGACAAGAGTTCCATCAGTTTAACGTCTACCTGGCTACATGGTAAGTTTGAGGCAATACAACAAGACTTTGTCCCAAAAAACAAAACAAAATCAACAAAGTATACAACTGACAATAAGCCAGGATCTCTTCTGTAGTGACTACTACAACTAAGAGTAATGAGGTAATTCATAGAAATCTCTAAACAAGCTTCTGCCAGAGCAAGGAAGAATGGACTTCATAATCTTTTAAGTATTCCCATCTGGAGAGAGAGAGAGAGAGAGAGAGAGTATATGTGTGCGCACACACACATGCACTGGTCCTGGGGTCTTGGAGCTTGAACTCAGTGCCTGGGCACTGTTCCTGAGCTTTCTTGCTCAAGGCTAGCGCTATATTACTTGAGCCACATTCTACTTCTGTATTTTTGTGTAATTAGTTTGAGGTAAGTCTGCTGCACTTTCCTGCTCAGGATAGCTTTGAACCTTGATCTTCAGATCTCAGCCTCCTGAGTAGCTAGAATTAGTCAGGAGCTACCAGCACCTGTTCCATCTGACTATTTTGAAACCCATACTTACTTGTAGTTTATTCACAGTGTTTATGTCTGTAAGAGTCCTAATGTGATATTTCTTCAAAAGAATATCAAGGAAATAAAAGGATCTCAGATAAGAAAATTAATTTTGTTATATCTATCTTTTTGTTTTGTTCTTTTTTGTTTTGTTTTTTTTTTGTCGGTCATGGGGCTTGAACTCTGGGCCTGGGCACTGTCCCTGTACTCTTCAACTCAAGGCTAGCACTCTACCACTTAAGCCAGAGTGCCATTTCCGGTTTTCCAGTGGTTAATTGGAGATAAGAGCCTTATGGACTTTCCTGCTGTGCTGGCTTTGAACTGCAATCCTCAGATCTCAGCTTCCTACTAAGTAGCTAGGATTACAGGCATGAGCCACCAATGCCCAACCCATCTTTGATTTCTAGGATGAGTTCCCAAGAAAAAATTCTTTTTTTTTAAGGGACTTTTTTTTTAATGGACTTTCTATGTCATTAATAATTTAAGAGAAATAACATCTTCAGGGACAAATGTGAGCATTTATAAAAGAACTACTAGAGATTAGGATTATAGTCTTCATTATCTTCATTGAAACAAAACCAAAGGAACAGGACATCTGAATACATCACACTCCTTCTCTTCAACATAAGTGAGTTGTTAAACCCACACAGCAATTGTTACAGCTTGTCCCATCTTTATCAATTTTCATCAATTATCAACTAGGTGCATAAATTTTCCTGTCTACTAGGTGCATAAATTTTTGGTGCATAAATTTTCCTGTCCTAGAAACAAGGAGAAAATGTTTGTTGTCTTCTTTTCCTTCATGAATAAGGATTTCAAAAAATCCAAGTATCCTAGTTAAGAGTAATAATATAAATCTCTTTTCTAATTTTTATTAAAACTAAACACTTTGATGAATCACTTCTAGGAATATAACAAGACTTTCCTTGGGTGAATATGAATCTCAGAAGTAATTTTTTACTTTCCATACAGAGATATTTAAGGGCTGGAAAGGTGGCTCAGTGGTAGAGCGCTTGCCTTACATACACAAGGCCCTGGGTTCGATTCCTCAGCACCACATAAGCAAAAAGAAAAAAGCCGGAAGTGGCGCTGTGGCTCAAATGGTAGAGTTCTAGCCTTGAGCTGAAGAGCTGAGGGACAGCGCCCAGGCCCTAAAAAAAAAAAAAAAAGAGATAGAGAGGTTTTTAAAAACTACTGGACAGGTGTTGGACTGTCCTACTACTTTTGTTCCATACATTGTGGATTCTGATAATCTACACGTCAGAAAGCCAATGACTTCCAGATAATCATGTAACTGCTCTCTTGACTTTACAGGGCCAGTCTCTCCCTATGATGGAGAAAGAGGTTACCCTAGAATATATACCAATGTCAAATTGCTTAGGAAGTAATAACTTCCAGCCAGGAAACAAAAGACTTAATAGAAAGGTTGTTAGTTCTGAGCAGTCCAGGATCTAGCAAGACCAGAACTGCATAGACTGAAAACAGCTGAAGCATTTGGAGAGGTATGAGAACAATGGCTTGCCATCATCCATGTGAAGCCAAGCTGGGACAAGGCAGAGGACAAGTCCAACTGGACCTGTCTGCATGTGTCCTGGCCTGTGCAGTTTATCTCTGTGTTATATTCTGTGTTATATTTTCTCTATATAATAGTTTTAGTACCTCCTAAATAAGTTAATTTTGTGGAAGTATTACTTCCATCTTGTTTTCTTTCCATGATGACATTTATTATCATGAGAGGCAAAAATAGCATATCCAAGAAAAAAATTCTAAGGAACACAGAACACCAAGAATATTTAGTACCTAAATCGTCATTTGAAGATGTAATAGTTATTTTTTTCAAATGAAATACTGTTCAGCTTAAGGGTACTGCTCAAGTGGTAGAGTACTTGACTATCACGTGTGAGGGCCTTCACTGAAGGCCCAGAAACGTATTTTTAAAAAACAAAATCTTTGGTTAAAGATGTGTGTAGCTCAGTGATAAAGTACTTGCCTAACAAGCACAAAACCCTCGGTTCTATCCTTAGCACCAGAGAAAACAAACAAAAAAGTAAAATTTTTACACTATAGAGTTCAAGTTTTAATGAATTTCTATTATGATAACAAATAGCAATAGATATATATATATAGCATCTGGATATATATGGCAAATATATGACACGCATACAGATGCAAATGTACACTTCAAACATATACAGATGCTACTGTGGTATTTTCTAGTCTATACCTGCAGTCTGTTGCTTTTGGAGGCAAGATATAAGGAAAAAGTAACTCAGTAAGCTTCCTTAAGTATTGTAATTCATCTCTTCGACTTCTTAAAGCCACATGAAGCTCTGGACCGTATTCTTCTAAAGCTGCTTGCTGTAAAAACTCCGTATTTTTTACTGGAAAGATAAAATTTAAGTATTAATAACAGAAGTGAAAATCCAGTAAAAAAAAATATATCTATGTAGAGAAATATCACGATGAAACTCTATTGTTCGATAGATGCTCAATAAAATAAAATGACTATTAAAATAAGTAACATTAAGTAACTTCAACCATTTCTGTTAACATAGAAAAACATCTAACCTAATTACTCCTTTCTTAGCTCTTTTTATTTTCCAGTGTGTATTTTAACAGGGAAATTGTTCAAGCAGTATATAAAAGAGAGAAACTCTTCTCCTGTGATAAATTTATTGCAATATATTTGTAATAGGCCATTTTACAAGGCAAACAAGAATTTAACTTCCTGGACTGTACAAATTATTTAAAGAAACAGTAAAAATGCTGGTGTATGGTTCAAGTGGTAGAGTAACTAAGTTCAATTCCCAGTACTGTCAAAAAATACTAATAGTAGCAAATAATTTTTAATTTAAAGAAAATCTATAGAAAATATCTTCTAGTATACACAAAACTTTTGCTAAAACAATATTTGCACTCTACAAAAACAAAAATTACCCTATTCAAAATTCTTTAATTGTACTGGGAAAGTGTCTCAGGTGATAAAGTACCTGCCTAAAAAATGTGAGGTCCTCAGTTCAAACATCAGTATGGTCAAAACAAAAAATTAAAAAAGGCCGGGCGCTGGTGGCTCACGCCTGTAATCCTAGCTACTCAGGAGGCTGAGATCTGAGGATCGCGGTTCAAAGCCAGCCCGGGCAGGAGAGACCGTGAGACCTATCTCCAATAAACCACCAGAAAACCGGAAGTGGCGCTGTAGCTCAAGTGGTAGAGTGCTCACCTTCAGCTGAAGAGCTGAGGGGCAGCGCCCAGGCCCAGAGTTCAAGACCCACGACCGACAAAAAAAAAAAAATTAAAAAAGCAACAAACAGCATTCTAAGGTGACAGTGGCTAACAGGTAATCTTAGCTACTCAGGATGCCAAGATCCAGAGGATGGAGGTTCAAAGCAAGCCCAGGAGACTCCATCTCCAAAATGAATAGCAAAAAACTGGGCTGAAGAGATAGCTAAAAGTCAGAGTACTAGCTGCATAAGTGAGCCAAGCAAGAACAAGCCCACAAATTCAAACCCTAGATCAGGCAAAATAATAGGGAGGAGGAGGATGATGATGATGATGCTTAATTATACCTATTTTGTGTCAATATCATTTTTTTAAAAAACCTTTCAGAATCTTATAATCTTCCTTGGATAAGTTTTGTATGTTCAGTCAGAGCATAGGACACAGTGGTATAACTGAGGGCTAACACCCAGCCCTCAAGTACTAGAGTACTTGTCTAGTAAGCTTGAGGCCCTATATCCAATCCAGTACAACAACCACAATGAAACACAGCAACAAACAAGTATCAAGAAGAGACATGGAGAACCCTTAGCTACCTATTGCTAACATTATGGAAAAGTCAAACACCAGATACCAGTGGCTCACGCCTATAATCCTAATTACTCAGGAGGCTGGGATTTGAGGATTGCTGTTCAAACCCAGATCAAGCAGGAATGTCCAAGAGACTCTTATCTACAATTAACTACCAAAAAGCCAGAAATGGGGACGTGGCTCAAATGGTAAAGTGCTAGCCTTGAGCATAAAAAGTCAGGGACAGTGCCAGACCCTGAGTTCAAGCCCTAGGAGATCCAGCAAATAATAAATAAATAAATCATAACTACAGACATATTTTTCTGTGGGTTTTTTTTTCTTAGTTGTAGGGCTTGAACTCTGGGCCTGGGAACTGTCCCTGAGCTCTTCAGCTCAAGGCTAGTGTTCTACCACTTGAGCCACAGTGCCACTTGTGGTTTTCTGATGGTTAATTGGAGCTAAGAGTTTCACAGACTTTCCTGCCTGAGCTGGCGTTGAACCTTGACCCTCAGATCTCAGCCTTCAGAGAAGCTAGGATTACAGGTGTGAGCACTGGTGCCCAGCCATATTTTTCCTATTTTTCTGCTGGCAAAGTAGCCTTTGCAGGATGGACAACAAATATATTACTTCTCCAGTATTTTTGCCAGTGACAAGACAATGCTTTTGTTGTTGTTGTTTTCTTTTTCTTTTTGTCAGTTGTGGGGCCTGAACTCAGGGCCTGGACACTGTCCCTGATCTCTTCTGCTCAAGGCTAGCACTCTACCACTTTGAGCCCCAGCTCCACTTGTGGTTTTTGAGTAGTTAGAATCTTACACTTTCCTGCCTGGGCTGGCTTTGAACTGCAATACTCAGCTATCAGCCTCTTGAGTAGCTAGGATTATAGGTATGAGCCACTGGAACGTGGCATACATAAAATAAAGTATAACTTGAAATGTTTCTTATAACCGAGGAATTACTATTACCAAAGGACAAATAAACCAGTAATTTGAGATAATTTAACATGAACTCTACCTATAGCATAATTTCCCAAAATTTGCTCTGATTAATTGAGATCATAAAGGAAAGAAAAATGGCTCCATGGTCAAGGAATTTGGGACTTACTAGACTGAATTTAAAGCTATTTGTTTGCTGTAGAACTACTCACAGATTTTGGAACCTACTAAAAATTTCTTGGACAGGAAGCCAATAGACATTAATGATCATCTCTGTACAATAGTATTTATTCTACAGAACACATTTCACAAAGCACTGACAAAGCATATCAAATGCTAACACAAGAAAAACCTCAGTTTAACAGAAGTATAGAACACAAAAGTAATTCCGTTAAAAAGGAACAGATTTCATTTAATCAGAAAACTCTTTCACTAAGCACATGTTTTGTGTAAATACTGTCAGTCCTAAGGTCTATAACTGCAATAACAATTATAACTCTTACTAGAGAATTAACATGAGAATTTTGGTATGTAGAAATTAACATGGACTAGAACAGTTCAAAAATGTTAAAATCACCAAAGAGAAAGGAGAAAGAGATGCAAGAGATGCCTCAGAGGAACAAACTATCATTCAGATAAAGACATTCACCAATAATATATCGAAAAGTTTAATTGTATTTTAATTTTTGGAGAACCGGAGTTTTCACATCTCCATAGTTACAGAGGACTGAAAAGAATTTCATTTTAATGCATATTCTCAAAGCATTTATGCATTTAGCAGTTGATGTGTCAACATCAGATACTTCAAGTGAAAGCTGAATATAAAAACAACATCACTCATACTATGATGGAAAACTGGATTACCTTTCTGTCTGGCTTTAACTATCACTTCTATATGCTTCATTGCTGCTTTTAATAATTTCTTGGTTATAATAGATGGAATATCCACCTAGAAAATTCAACATGAAAATGAAACTATAGAAATAATTATCATGAAGTTGCAATGGCAAGAACACTATATTTAAGATACTGGAACACATCTTAAAAATTAAGAGTTATGAAGAATATAGTAGGGGCATTTTTGAGACCATTTCACAGTATGATGAATATACTCAATAGTAGATGAGTTAAAATTGCTAAGAGTAAATTTCAAATATTTTCATCACAAAAATGCTAAAGAATCTGAGACGATGTGTATGCCAACTAGTTTCATTTAACTATCTAACATTGCATTAATCTATTATAACATTTTATATCCTATAAATATACATGATTATAAATTGTCAACTTGTAATGAAACTTTTTTAACTACAGGTATTCTGAATATTTCCTACGTGCAACTTAAAAGTCATACTAACTACAATATTATATAGTTTCTTTGCCACATTATGAAAATATGCTAAAAATAAAAATTAACATGTTCCAAATGGGTGAATTATATAACATGTAAATTATAACTCAAACCTGTCATTTGGGGCTGGGAATGTGGCTTAACGGTAGAGTGCTCGCCTAGCATGCATGAAGACCTAAGTTCAATTCCTTAGTACCACATAAATAGAAAAAGCCAGAAGTGGCACTGTTGCTCAAGTTGTAGAGGGCTAGCTTCAAGCAAAAGAAGCTAAGGGACAGTGCCCAGACAGAGATCAAGCCCCAGGACTGGCAAAAAACAAACAGGAAAAAAAAAATTCATTAAAAAAAGAGGGAGACCAGGGGCTGGTGGTTCACAACTATAATCCTAGCTACTCAAGAGGCTGAGATTGAGGATCACAGTTCAAAGCCAGCCTAGGCAGGAAATTCCATGAGACTCCCCATTAAGTACAAAAAAAAAATTGGAAGTGCAGATGTGACTGAAGTGGTAGAGCATTAGCCTTGAGAGAAAAAGCTCAGGGACAGTGCTTAGACCCTGAGTTCAAGCCTCAGGACAGGCACAAAAAGGAACATATATGTATAGTTATTTACACAGACATGTATAAATATGTGTGTATATGTCATACTCCAAGTAAGAAGTGCTATTATTTTGAATCCACTAGGCTATCTCAAACTCAATACTCAATGTTAATTTTATAATACTCATTGTTAATTCATTGGAAAGAGAATAACATTTCAAGTTGTAATTTAAATGTATCATTAACCATCTCCTATTTCTTTACAATTGTTTATTACATTCAATTTACTTTAAAACAATTGTTTCCAGAGCCTTTTTTTTTTTGTTTGAGCTGGTCCTGCTAGACCTCTGGCAGAGGCACTGTCCCTGAGCTTTTGTGCTAAGGACAGAACTCTACTACTTAAACCAGAGCTCTATTTCTGGCTTTTTGGTGCTTAAATGGAGATAAGAGCCTCACAGACCATCCTACCAGTCTGGCTTTGAACTTTAATTCTTGGATCTCAGCCTCCTGAGTACTTTGGATTATAGTCGTGAATCATAGGTGCCCCTCGAGAACCATTTATTAAAACATGATTGATCTCTCTCCCTTCGAGAACACCCATACTCTGTTATAGAGCCCCTGTCTTGCTTTCTGGCTTGTCAGTTTGTCTTATTCACTCAATAAAGCTCTGCAAAGTTTTCTTACCACTTAAACAAAAGATTAATATTTACCATTTTAAAAAAATGTGGCCAGGCACTGGTGGCTCACACCTATAATCCTAGCTACTCAGGAGGCTGAGATCTGAGGATCACAGTTCAAAGCCAGCCCAGGCGGGAAAGTCCGTGAGACTCATCTCCAATTAACCGGAAGTGGTGTTATGGCTCAAGTGGTAGAGCACTGGCCTCAAGAGCTGAGGGACAGTGCCCAGGCCCAGAAATCAAGCCCCATGACCAACCAAAAAAGAAAAAAATAAAAAAATGTACACCTACACTTATCATCTCAGCACTCAGGCTGAGAACACCTGCCTAGCAAGTATATAGCCCAGGGGTCACTCCCCAGGTACATCCAAAATAAAGGTTAAATTCAGCCCTGAGAAGGATTGAGGCAAGAGAACTGTAATCATCAGACCAGCCTGGACTACATCGTAAATGATTGTGTCGCAAAAGCAAAAACAAAAAAACTGAAATCAAATGCAAAGAAAAAAAAACATGGTAAACAAAGACATGCACAAAAAGAACCGAAATTCAATACGAGTCCATCACTATAATAACCATTAAGAGTGATAAGGTAGCTGTGGGGCAGTGGCTCATGCCTATAATCCTATCTACTTAGTTGGCTGAGATCTAAGGATCTCAGTTCCAAGCCAGTGGGGTCAGGAAAGGCCATGAGAGTCCTATCTTCAATTTTTTGAAGTCTAAATGTTTATTGAGCATATAATGAGTAATATACATGCTTGCTAACACTTTTTAAATTTTATTGTCAAGGTGATGTACAAAGGGGTTACAGTTACGTAAGTAGGGTAATGAGTAGGTTTCTTGTCAAACATTGTTACCCCCTCCCTCATTTTTCTTCCACTTTCCCACCACCACCACCCAAAAAAAAAAGCCACAAGTGGTACTGTGGCTCAAGTGGTAGAGTGCTAGCTTTGAGCACAAAAGTTAAGACAGCACCCAGGCTCTGACCTCAAACCCCAGAACTGGCACTCAAAAAAAGTGATAAGGATATATATCCTTAAATACATATTAGCAAGCATAAAAGCTATTCTATTTGTTATTTAAGATATTTTCCTATAACCTGAGGGTGAAAATGGGAGAGAAGAATAGAAAGGGTGACACTGATCACAAAGTTTTGTACTTATAACATACTATGGAATGTCAACCTCTTCCTACAACTACTTAATTAAAAAAAAAAAAAAGATTTTCAGCCTGGAGCTAGTGGCTCATGCCTTGTAATGCTGGCTACTCAGGAGGCTTAAATCTGAGGATCATGGTTTGAAGCCAGCCCAGGCAGGAAAGTCTGTGAGACTCTTAGCTCCAATTAACTACTAGAAAATCAGAAGAATGAGCACTAGCCTTGAGCAAAAAGAGCTCAGAGACAGCACTTAGACCCTGTATTCAAGTCCCATTACTGACAAAAAAAAGTATTTTCTTTTGTAAATAAACATTACTACACAAAATGATTTTTCCTCGCTGTGTAGTTTAGATGTGTTTTATTTATCCAACAATAATTCAATCACTGGAAATTAATTTTTCTTCTCCCTACTACAAAGTAAACTGCAGTAAATCTTTATACATTTTTATGTACATCTACTTCCTTAATTACAAATACACTTTTTAGGGGCTGGGAAGGTGGCTCAGTGGTAGAGCGCTTGCCTTGCATGCATGAGGCCCTGGGGTCAATTCCTCAGCACTACATAAGCAAAAAGAAAAAAGCCGGAAATGGCACTGTGGCTCAAGTGGTAGAGCTCTAGTCTTGAGCTGAAGAGCTGAGGGATAGCGCCCAGGCCCAGAGTTCAGGCCCCACGACCAGACCCCAAAAATAAATAAGTAAATAAATAAAAACAAATACATTTTTTATTTCCTTAAAATATATTGTAAAATTGAGTTAAATTTGGAAGTACAGATGTCTGTAACTCTTAATAAAGATTACTAAATTTAGTTGGGCACGGTGGTGCATGTATGTAATCCCAATATGAGAGATATAAAGCATCTCAAGCACTAGGGATCTCAAACTCAGGACAGATTAGACTGCAAGAATAGACTGAAAGACACTGTTTTAGCACATGCATGGTCTTGGGTTCAGTTCCCAGGACCTCAAATTTTGAGAAAAGGAAGAAACCACCCTTAATGTAAGGAACACAAATTTGGATTTGCATTTGTTTTGCAAACTTCTCACCATTATTAGTATACATTAATATTCTTTCTTATCTTTCCCAATTAGATAGATAAAATATTATAGCAACATATATTAAAAACAATTTGCTGATTGTTTTATTTTTCAAGTGGCTATGGAATCATGTAGCCAAAATTAATCTTTATTAATGGCTGACACATATTGTCAAAACATTTATCTTACTGAGCTAAAAAAGTGGCAGACATAGTGTGTCTATATAGCAAACAAATATATATCAGCCAAAACACAAACACAAAATATGGCCCCCTAAAAAAAGCTTTAAAAAATAGATCATAACCACTGCCTATTTACTCTTTAAATTCATCTAATTTAAACAGGAATTTCCTCTACAGTTGTCTTCTCATTTCTGATTTCCAGAAACCAATGTAACCCAGTATTAAAGAAAACATAAAAGGGAGGGGGGAGGCTGGGAAAGGATGTGAAGGGTAAACAAAGGAGGAGGCTGCAATGCTTGGTAAGAAATGTATGCATTATCCTGCCCATGTAATTGTAACCCCTCTGTATAGTATGTTCACAAATAAAATAAAATAAAATAAAAAATAAAAAAATAAAAAATAAAGAAAACATAAATGACCAATGGATCAGAAATAATTCATTAATCTTTTAATCTAAAAACAAAGAAAAAGAATATTTAGAATAATCAATCCATAATGCCCTAAGTCCCAAATTTCTCATTACAAATGTATACCTTGTGAATCCTTCGTATTAAAACAGATGCAAAAAATCGTAATGTTATTCTCAGTTCATCAACAAAGGACTCATCATCTGTCACATCCCTTCAATGGAGAAAAGCAAACATTCAGAAGTTTGAAAAGATACTGATTTATCTTCTTGAAACCCAAAGAAAGAATAAAATTTCCTTTTTCTTAATTACTTAATTGTTCATTTTATTCACAAATAATACATTTTATTATAGAATAGAAAAAATGTGATTCTAGCAGCAAGTTGTGATCACCATTAACTAAGTTATAGCACATCTTTCCTTGCTAACATATACATGTACAGGTTTAACATCTAAGACCATTTTCTAAGCATCAAAGAAAAAAACAATGAATATTGAAGAAACAAAAGAATATAAGATTGCCCATGTCATTGTAACCCCTCTGTACAGTATTTTCACAATAAAAAAAAAAGAACATAAGATGTTAAGGTAGTTTTAAACTAAAATTCTAACAAACTTTGTCTGAGGAAGTACTTTTCATTTTCCTGAAATGCTTGATGTCTCTAGCAAAATTAAGACATTTTCCTAACACACTCTAGATTTAACTCAAATACTAACATGCTTTTAATTAGAAATTATACTGAATTATTATACTGAATTATACTGAATTAATATAAAATTGGGGCAGATGTTATAGAGATTTATGGGCTGGCTTTGAACCATGACCCTCAGATCTCAGCCTCCTGAGTAGCTAGGATTACAGGCACAAACCGCTGACAGATACCCAGCTTCTTGAGCATTTTTTATGTCCTGAAAGGTACATGCCCATTGTGTTCTGTGTACACCAAAACCAGTTACATGGGAGGAAAAATATTAAATTTCCACAGAATCTACTGCAATTATCTTTCAATTGAACAAAACACTTGATTTAGATTATCCCCCACCAAAATACAATTGTTTCAAATGTGAAAACTATACCAAAATAAAACTATTTTTTTGTGTGTCTCAAGTTCTCATTACAAAGGTCAGATTGACTTTCAACTCTCCGTATCTTCCTGACTCAGCATTCTAACTGCAAGGGTTGCAGGCATGTGTCACTATGACCAGCTCATCAATAGCTGTTTTTTATTAGGATTTTGGGGCTTCATCTCCAGGTCTTATGTTCTTACTAAGCTTTTTCTCTCACGGATGCTTTCCTACCCAGGCTGGCTTTGAACCATGATCCTCAGATCTCAGCCTCCAGAGTAGCTAGGATTACAGACATGAGCCACCAGTGCCCAGCTTATCAATGATTCTTAACTGTAGTCAATTATGTCTTCCAGGTAATATTTGGTAATCTCTGAAAATATTCTTTGTAGTTAGAATGAAGGTAAGAAGAGGAGGAGGATTATACAGCTGACATCTAAGATCTGGCCTAAGCTGTCACAAGTTGAGAAATTCTGACTTAAACTGAAAACACATTATTAGCATACTTAGTATTAATCACTACATTAAAGAAAAAAGACCTCATTCAAAGAACATACCTGTACCATGGATAAACAAAGTTTTCCAACACTAATTCAAGAACCTGCATAAAAATAATTTTTAAGGAAAAACAAAATTAGTTCTGGGAAAATTACTTAGTAACATATAATAAACACTAAATGTAATACTAAAATTGGTCTTTGTTAACACACACATATACATATACATAGAGACATGCTATTATATTTTGTCATAATATATATTTCAACATTTGAGAAAATACTTGGAAAATCATAAAACGAAATATTCCTATAATTAAACAAAATGTTTACAGTGTTTTTTTGTTGTTGTTGGTCGTGGGGCCTGAACTCTGCCTCTCAGCTCTTCAGCTCAGGGCTGGCTAGCGCTCTACCACTTGAGCTACAGCACCACTTCTAGTTTTTTCTGTTTATGTGGTGCTGAGGAATCAAACCCAGGGCCTCATGCATGCAAGGCAAGCACTCTACCATTCAGCCACCTTCCCAGCCCCTAAAGTTTTTTTTTTTTTACTTTATTACTTCATTTTTTTTTAATTTTGAAAATATGCACAGATGGATTACAATTACATGAGCAAGGTAATGAGTACATTTCTTATCAAGCATTGTTGCCTCCTCCTTTGTTTCCCCTTCCCATCCCTTCCCATCTCCTCTTCCCCCCTGACCACCCCCCATAGTACTCTTGATACTAAAACTTCCCTGTACCAAAAACAGTTCTTTGGAAAGGTAAATAACAGGTGAAGAGCTTTTTGTTTTGGTTTGTTTTTTTTTTACATTCCTTTCTCTGTGTCTGTATTCTTAAATAAGATATAGAAGCAGGCCAGGAGTGGTAGCTCATGCTTATAATCCAAGCTACTCAGGAGGAGGGCTACATTGGGCAAAAATTTAATGAGAACTCAAGCAATGGGTAAGCATACATGTACAGCTACAATGGGAGGCCACAGATTAGAGAACTGAGGTCCAAGGTTGGCCTAGGCACAAAACACAAGATCCTACCCAAAAACTAAAGCAAAAAAGTCAAGTGACCTGAGTCTGCCTAGCAAGCATGATACCCTAAGTTCAAACCCAAGTACTGCCAGGGGGAAAAAAGAAAGTAGAAACAACTAAGAGTTACATAAGAGATCAAAATTAGTTGTCAGAAGCTAGGCTCCAGTGGCTCACACCTGTAATCTAGCTACTCAGGAGGCTGAGATCTGATGATCACGGTTCAAAGCCATCCTTTGCAGGAAAATCCATGAGACTTTTATCTCTAATTAATCACAGAAAAAGCCAGAAGTAGTGCTGTGGCTCAAGTGGTAGAGTGACAGCCTTGTGCAAAAGCTTAGGGACAGCGCCCCAGGCCCATCAAAAAGAAATTGTCAGTGATTGATGAGTTTTAATGAAAGGATAGTAACTAGAAGACAAATTGTAACAATATATATCAGCAGTACATTTACCAAAGTAGACTACGTGCGTTCTTTGGCCACAGTAACAAAGTATGTGAATTCATTAATTTCAATATAAAAGCAACAGTCATTTGGATTTTTTTAACTATAAGAGTTAAGCATTAATTATATTAATTGGAAAAAGCAATACTTATATATAGATAATAAGATTTAGAATAGGGACATTAAGAAGTTATCTTTAAATATTTTTTCCAACATGCAATCAATCATCAAATTCTACTGAATTTCCTTTTGTTGTTGTTGTTTATTTTTGGTGCAGCTCCTCGGACTGGAACTCAGGGCCTGGGTACTGAGCTTTTTCTTGTTGTTCAAGGCTAGCACTCTACACTATAGCCACAGCTCCACTTCCAGCATTTTAGGAGTTTAATTGGAGACAAGAGGGTCACAGACTTTCCCAACAGAGCTGGCTTCTGTAAGGTCTGCACAGGGACATTGTGGAGAGGAGAGGCATGGCCCGAAGGGGAGACCCACCCCTGTGCCAGTATTTACCTAGGTCAGGGACAAGAAGAGGTGTGGCCAGGTGGGGGAAAGGTGTGGCCACACTGGATGCGGATGTGACCTCAGGGCCTAGGACCCTCCAATGGTCAGATGGGAGGCATGTGATCAGAGATGGCCCAGGATGTGAACTAGCAGGAGGCGGTGACTACTTCAAGGTCTGGCAGTTACCTAGGTAACACAGATACTGGGTGGAAACTTAGCCAAGAGGTAGAGAGGTATCCTTGTACAGACCTTACAGCTTCCACAATACTCAAATCCCAGCCTTCTAAATCACTAGGATTACAGGCATGAGCCACTGGCACCTGGTCTGAATTCACTTTCTGAGCAGCTCTTCTTGTCCTCATCTTGTGTCCCTTCCTATTGAAGCAAAAGCCTCTGAATTAGTCTAACTGCTTCCAGCTTGCTCTCCTCCAAAAGGCACTAGAGTAATCTAAAATGTGTACTTGAGCATATTACTCCCTCATACAAAACCCTCAACGTATCAAAGCACAACACATGAAAGAAAAGGAGCTGCACTGATTTTGAAGAGCTCTGCAACTGTGACCACTTACTTCCTTTCCATCTCCCACAGCATCCTGTGAGCCACATCTAAAGCACTAATTATACCATTTGAAAACCATTCGCTTCTAGATCAATCAATTAAATCTAAACTCTATCGGCATAACCTTCAAAGTCTTTTGATTTCTAAAGCTCTACATAAAACCATAGGGTTGGGAGAGAATATTTTGTTTGTTGCAGAACTAGGATTTTAACTAAGGGCCTAGCACTTGCTAGGTAAGTGATCTACATCTTTTTCTTTTTCTTTTTTTTTGCCAGTCATGGGGCCTGAACTCTGGGCCTGGGCACTGTCACCCGGCTCTTCAGCTCAAGGCTAGCACTCTACTTGAGCCAAAGCGCCACTTCTGGCTATTTCTGCTTATGGGTTGCTGAGGAATCAAACCCAGGGCCTCATGCATGCAAGGCAAGCACTCTACCACTGAGCCACCTTCTCAGCCCCTGTGCTCTACTACTTAAGTAACAACCTTGACCTTTCTGTATTTTATTAATTTTCAAAAAAGGTCTTGAATTTATGCCCTGGCCAGCATACTTCTATTTATACTTCCTGTGTAGCTAGGATGACAGATACTTGCCACTGTGCCCAGCATTTTAATGACTGAGATGGGGGTCTTACAGCCTTTGCCCAGGCTGGCCTCAAACTGCAAACCTCTCAAATCTCAACCTCAAAGGTACCTAGGGGTACACTTATGAGCCACTACAACCAGCTATACTGTTTTTGAGTGCTGCTATCAAACGCAAAAAAAGATTAAAACACTCCAAATTCCTGTTTACTTTTGATAATATCAATAGCAGCACCCATTTTATACACTGGGTATAGATTACATGAAATAATGTATATATGCTCAGTACAGAGCTAAAAATGCAATAAGGATATCAATAAATGGTTACTATAAAATACCATTTCTTGGATTTAGGTATGGCTCAAATGATAAAAGTGCTTGCCTAAAAAGCACAAGGCTCTCAATTCAAATTCTAGCAAAGTGAGTGTGAGAGTGTATGTGTGTGTGTGTGTGAATAAAGGATATCAGAAAAAATTTCAAATGCATAATGCTGCTCTTGAGCTTAGTATTCTGTTTTTTTCAAAATATAGTTATCACCTACCAACAAAATATGTTACCCAAGCTTGTTAATGGGAACAAATGAGACTCCCCCACACAGTCAAGAACTTGATTGCTTTCTCAGATGCATAGAAAAGACAAGTCTTGCCAGGTGCCCGTGCTCATGCCTGTAATCCTAGATACTAAGGAGGCTAAGATCTGAGGATCACGGTTCAAAGCCAGCCCGGGCAGGAAAGTCCATGAGACTCTTCTCTCCAAAAAACCACCAGAAAACTGGAAATAGTGCTGTGGCTCAAGTGGTAGAGTGTTAGCCTTGAGCTGAAGAGCTGACAGCGCCCAGGCCCAGCACTCAAGCCCCACAACTGACCAAAAAAAAAAAAGACAAGTCTCTGCAACAACGAGTTTGGTGTGTGGCTTTAAGGAGTGAACCTGTTCAGTAAGTGTGAAGCCCTCAATTCAAACTCTAATAATCTCCCTCAAAAAGTGAAAGGGGTTGGGAAGGTGGCTCAGTGGTAGAGTGCTTGCCTTCCATACATGAGGCCCTGGGTTCGATTCCTTAGTACCACATAAGCAGAAAAAGCTGGAAGTGGTGCTGTGGCTCAAGTGGTACAGTGCTAGCCTTGAGCTGAAGAGCTGAAGGACAGTGCCCAGGTCCACAGTTCAAGCCCCACGACCAACCAAAAAAAAAAAAAAAAGTGAAATAAAACTACAAAAGCATGTATACTAACAATCCAAGCACATAAAATCCAAGTAGAAAAAAAAAAAGAAACATGCTTTCTAGTTAAAATTATACCTGTTCTACCCTTAAGTTAGTGTTCAAACTGGGATAATTCTGTAGGATATACATTT